AAAAGTGTACGAAATGATTTTCTCCCGAGAAGCAATATTGTAATAACTTAGCCATGCACTTGCTAAGGACGCCATTGCACCACCCAGAGAATGCCCTGTAACCCAAATTTTGTAGGATGGATTGTCAGCGACGAGAGCCTTCACTTTCGATTCCATGTTCGGCCATAATGTCTCGAACCCTCTTTTCCAGTAGGTTTGTACTTTACCCTTGCTTAAAAAAGCTTCTTTAGGGCTAAATAAAGTCTCAACAAACACAGAAAATGCTTGATCGAAACATTCGGAGCCGCGAAAAGCAATAGCAATAACTTTCACGGTATGGGAAACAGCGACATAGCCAGAGCATTGGTTATCAGAGAAATCACATTTCCTTGTTACAATATGCTGTATTTGAAAGTCGGCAGATGGCAGCGAGTTGTTGAGACATTTCTGGGGATGAAGTGGATCATACGCTGCTGCAGAAAGAAGCAACATTTTTAAAGACAATCCAGTGTCATAATGGGAGAACTTTTCTCCACAGCGAGACGGATCAACAATATTTTCCGCTCTCTTACAAGGGTTTGTTAAAAATGCGCCTGGAGTATGACATTCACTGTCCCTTCTACACCATCTGCACGTTAAGCCAAAAGCGTCGGTATTAGAAGCGCAGTCTCTGCAGTTGTCTGAGTTGCAGTTGAAGAAACCAACGACTTCGTTCAGCTGGAGGAGGATGGCAACGCAGTAAACTGGGCTTAACGTTACCATCTTGATGATGCTTACAAATGGCTCTCATCGGAATACTTGGGACACAATATTTGGCTAACATGTATTATTTTGCAATCTCGAATACCTTTTATGGATAAACGTCAACACAAGTGACAATCTTGGTTTGTTTCCAAGAATTACCAGAAGTCGAAGTATGAATTAATCCCTGTCACCCAGACTGCCTATCAGGTGGCTATGATACGACGCTCATTGTCAGTTTTAAAGTACACATTAAAATTACTGCGAAACTAAGTAAATCTAGTACTTTATTTCAATCTGAAGGGTGATATGGATTTTATTTCAGTTGGCATCCCGGTTTCCATTACGTTCCTTCCTTCCTATTTAACATAAACATTATTCCACCATTCAGGCCTGTAAATAATTCTTCCCAACTAAGAAATCTAAGATCCATGGCTACTCTGCGCGACTTCAGTCCAAAGGATTTCATTGACGACCTGCAGGCTATCAACTGGAATAATATTTGCAATCACACTTTTCTCAATCAATCGATTTCTAGATTTTACAAATGCGTCAACCAAAAAATTAACACCGCCTTAAGAAGTATAGCTAATCGTAAACAAAATTCCTCATTAAACCGTGGCTGACCGCTAGTTTAAGAAAAGTAGAAACAACCTCTTCTATATTGACCTCAGAATGTGATTAATAGAAATTGTACAGAAACAAAATCATTACTGTTATACGCTTAAAAAGAGGTCTGAAATTCACAAAAGAGACACACGAAACAAGAATACGATTGACATTCCAGTACAGAACTGCGACAGGCCCAAGGACCTTTCAATTTCGGGCTTTTTTGACGCTGAAACTCTTTATCCAAATGGCTCACAAAGTTAACATACATTGTAACATTTAAGAAGGAACTTCTGCGTCATTTAAAATCGTCTCAGCCGGCGGGCGGGGTGGGGGGGGGGG